GGGGGGGGGGGGGGGTTGTAGAGGGCCATACCTAGGTTAGAAATTCGGTCAACCACAGATATTTCGCTCCTCCTCGGATGTCAACCTGGCTCCACCACTGCACCTCTCCCTGACACCACGCCTCGATCTATATTAACATGATATATTACAAGTAATATATGACTATATATATAGTGTATATTAGTGTAGCTATAATCTCATCCTGATATGTATAATTATAACTTGCGTATGACTTCTCACTCGAATATCAGATTATCTTAAAACTCATTACTGACTGTCTTATAGACCATAATTCAACATGATTTACTAAAAGTACCTCAAGTTTTCTATAACTATCCCCTGTCACATAATTGAACTTGAGATTGTTTTTACATACAGAGGATATAAAAAGAAATGAATTGAAGGTTTTCTGAGGTTCTGACGAAATTTCAAACTAGAAGTATGCCATAACATTATAAAAAAAATTGGTTTAAAATGAATAGATTGCAGGTCCTTTCTAATCTTTCGAAATAAGGAAACACAAAAGACAAAGAATCAGAAGCGTGAAACACTTCGACACCTAAACATATTGGTAATTATACTTTTCAGTGTAATTTAGACCTAACTATATTATGCTATATTGCCAACTAGTATATGGGCAGTAGAACTGAAATATTACCAATGTTTTAGTCACTAATAAATGGAAAGTTATCAAGAACAATAGTTAATTTGGCAGCAGTAGTTAGTCAGTACTAATATAATACCAGTATATAACACGATCTAGGTTATATAAGAAATTACGCGTGCTTTTTACAATAATTACATTTTCCATCTAGTGCCAATTATCAATAATGTTATAATTGACAGAGTTATATCTCAATAGTGGCTTTAACAATATTTTATATTCAGTAAAACACGGACATTGAGTACAAAATATATCAAAGTTTTGGACAACCAACCGTCACCATCTTCTCAAAAATGGGCTTTAAATTTTCATATATTTTGTTTAGGCCTTTCTATTTATAGTATTATGTAATAAGTTTTACCCTGTTATCATCATAAGTAAAGGAGTGGGAATACCTAACATCGTTAATTATTCAAATTTAAAAAAGAAATATTACTTACCTATTTCATTTTTTAAGTCCAACTTGAACCCTTCAGAAAAAAATACCTTCGTGTTTGATATTCATCCATATAGTTAGGGAACACGAAGGAGTATTTTAATCCAATGCTGAAATAGCTTGTAATGCTTGAATTCCAATTTTGTATCGGAAATTTTGTTTTTTAAAATGTACTGGTGATACAACTAACTATTATATAGGCTTCTTAGATTTTTACACAAATCTTATATAGAATAGAAACACATTTTCTTAACTTCTAATTCCAATACGAATACTGTTACTGTTTTTGTGTAGTCTATTTATAATAACTCTACAATCGTTACACTTAACTAATATAACATTACATATTACTTTGTATTTTTACTCCAATTCCTTATGAATGGTGTTTCAGATATCATAAAATCGTGAGCTTTATCCTAAACACAAAATATAATCCAGTTGCAGTTCCCACTAATCCTGACAGTACACAGATTCTCTGATATCCGAAAAAATCATAGCTGACAACCCTGATATAAAAACACACTTCAGTTCACCTTGATAGACGTAACTTTATGTTTTTACCTGTAGATCTATTCAGCCAGTGATATATTAGTACCTGTAGATCTAGTCTATTATTATGTTACCTGTAAATTTAGTCTACTACATCTGCATACCCGAGTATATGTAAAATGTTAGAAAAAACCTGGAGTTCCAGACTATCATCTCTATATGGTTATGAGGTTATTACAGTACTTGTAATTCTAGTCTACTTACCTGTCATTTATCGTATACCTTCAAAGGTAAATCACCTGTAGTTCTAGACTATCTATATAGCTTGTCTATTTACATGGCACTTGTTGTTCTAGACTATTAGACCTACCTGTACATTTCCTAAATAACATAGTCGTACCTTGTATTCGAGACTATTACCTGCATATGTTAAAGAAGCTACCTGTAGTTCTAGACTATTAGACCTACCTTTGAGATTAAGAGTGGTTTATTTTTACTCGCCGAATAATAACAATACAATATGCCACTTGGCAGTTATTATATCAGATATATCTTAATCCGAAAGTGTCTTTTTGATATTACTCAGGGACATACAAGTCGGACGTCATAGTTCCCCCACCCCCTCTCCCGCAGTCGTGTGACTGTGAAAGGTTTTAATTTGAACTGAAAATCAACCCCTAAATGCCAAATATTCATCTCCTCAGGCCATCTGACTTCTCGCTTCCCCCACCCCGTATTCCACCAGGCATCTTCTAGATATACTCCAACGACGTCCAATAGGTGAATTGCAGGGCAGACAAGTAGACGTAAAACTCCAATGCATTATTGAAAGTGTACGTCCAAAATTACTATTTTAATAGATTACATGGTGATGAAATAAATACTATGACGACGAAATGAATTATGTAATTGTATTCCACAGTGATGAAATGAATTCCATGGAGATGAAGAAAATTCCAGAATATTTCTGCCAAGCCAGGATAGTCTGGTATTAACATAGAACAGTAGAATATAACAGTTCAACCATCCTGCAAATTCTTCACGATTCCTTGACTAAATTTGAATTTTTCTGAGTAAGTGCGTAGTTTTACATTTTGACTCAGTAAAAAATTTGATTGAAGAATTTATTAAATTACATTTCATTAGATAAAAATTTAAATGGAGAACACAATGAGTCACTTTCAAAGTGACTAGGTTACTAGGTTTTATAAAAGCTATTCAGTTAAAAAACGATTAGATTATCCATCTACCATTTCAGCAATAACTAAAAACATTTCCCGTTATCAATGTACGACATAACATATTCCTGCGGGTGATTTAAAGGGACAGTTCCCGTCATTTCTTTTTTAACCAATCATACCTTAGTAGGAATTCTAAGCTAATCAGTATAGTGTTCACAGTTCATCATCGAAATTTGAGCCTTCAAATCCATGTTTGCCCAGAATTATGCGCATTTGAATGTTAAAATGACGACTCGCCATTTCTTGAGACTCTGCCATATATAGAAAAGACATATATAGAAAAAGAAAGTGAAATTCCTAGTTTGAGATATCTTTAAAGGAAATTATGCGATATTTGTACATTTCTAGTACTTCTGAAGACTTTTTACATATATTCATGAACCCAAAATCAACTCCCTCTTTGACATTTTTGAAATACAGTTTATACATGCCATTTAGGGGTAAGGATTATAATAATGATGTAAATTGTTGAAAGGTTGTGTTCAAACTCAAGAGTCGTTTACTGTAAATTTGTGTTTATTGGTTAGGTCCATACATAATGAGTATTTTCATGCATATAGTTTTATTTGGTCAACTCAGCACACTCTTTGCGAGTTCACATAGCTTATAATGTTTATGTGGTATTTAAGTTTGTCAACTCGGAAACCCTTTCAGAGAGTCCACATAGTTAATATTGCTTGTTTGGTGTCTAGGTTTGGCAACTCGGAAACCCTATCAGAGAGTCCACATAGTTAATATTGTTTATTTGGTATTTAAGTTTGTCAACTCGGAAACCCTATCAGAGAGTCCACATAGCTTATATTGTTTATTTGATATTTAGGTTTGTCAACTCAGAATCCCTTTCAGAGAGTTCACATAGCTAATATTGTTTATTCGGTATTTAGGTTTGTCAACTCAGAAATCCTTTCAGAGAGTTCACATAGCTAATATTGTTTATTTGATATTTAGGTTTGTCAACTCGGAAACCCGTTCAGAGAGTTCACATAGTTAATATTGCTTGTTTGGTATTTAGGTTTGTCAACTCGGAAATCCTATCAGAGAGTTCACATAGCTAATAATGTTTATTTGGTATTTAGGTTTGTCAACTCAGCATCCCTTTTAGAGAGTCTACATAGCTAATAATGTTTATTTGGTATTTAAGTTTGTCAACTCGGAAACCCTTTCAGAGAGTTCACATAGCTAATATTGTGTATAAGGTATTTAGGTTTGTCAACTCGACACCCCTTTCAGAGAGTCCACATAGTTAATAATATTTATTCGGTATTTAAAATGAGTCATTGAATGAATATTTTTTGATAATTATCATTTACGTATATATAATAGCATTCTTGTTTAATGATTTTTTTAATATTAACCTTAAAACTTAATGGGGTAGCCTACAGTAGTCTAGATATTTTCTTAACCAGCTTATAGTCATAGAGATTATAGTTTATAGACCATTCTCTCAGCTACCGTTAAACAAAACAATTAACCATTATATACCATAAATATCCCCTGGCTCGTTTATCTGGGATCTAGCAGTTCCTTATTGTTCGACAGAAGTTGACCAACTACATAAATCTATCAAGCACAAGGGACTTCTTTTTAACTTGGTACATTAAAGGAGCAGAATTTTACTTTCTATTTCTATAGATGTCTTTTCTATATACGACAGAGTCGCAAGAATAGATGAGTCGTCATTTTAACTTTCGAACGCGGATAATTCTGGACAAACATGAATTTAAATTCCGATGGTGAGTTGTTAGCAGTTTTACTGATTACCTTCGCTCAGAAAAATCCAGTTTTTTAGTCGATCTTATGTACGAACGGTCCCTTTAAAGGTACATCCTACAAACAGTGGAGTATCCTCCCTCCCCCCCCACTGGAAAATCTTGTGGCACCTACCCCCCCCCCCCCCCCCCCCCCCTCAACTAATGTTTCCTAGACACGCCACTGCTGTAATAAGGCATTCGATATAAAGAGAGAACTAATACAGAATATGACATGTTATGTTAATTAGTTTTTAATAAGAGCTTTGCGATTTTGACCGGTCCATATAGTTGCTGCATTTTGAATACAGCCTCGAGAGTTGTCCCTCCATTTAGTCAGTCTGTCCCCTATTGTACCCCCAGTCTAGGAAGTCTGTAGCCGCCACTGGTCCGTGGACTTCAGATGGTAGTTGAGCCACTGGTAGTGGGATTACTCATTTTTAGTTACGCTACCTTCAAAACATTTATAGATGTAGTCTGAATCTTATCAAGAGTTACGCCCCCTTCAACATCCTCTACTTCCGATTTCTGTTTACAAAACAAAGCCAGGTTGCCAAGACCAAATACATATTTTATAGATTTAAACCAAGACAAGTTTCTCGTCTGTAAAGATTGTTGTGTGGAATTGGTTTGTAGACATTATTTCTTCAAATATTTCTAAGAAATTAAACAGAAAAGTAGGACGTAAAACTCCATTCATTTCATTTCTAAGAAATTAAAAAAAAAAACACCAGATTTTATACGTTTTCACACATGTTACAACTTGCAAGAAGCTTTTACAAGTATCTATGTAATTTCGAGGCATTTGAAGGCATTGTGACCATGGACGGCTTGTGCCTATGGTACTTCCACATTTGGAATCCCAACCCATCCCCCAAAAAGTCAGTCTGCCCCCATTTTCTACCCCATCTCAGGAGGCTGATGCTGCCACTGTCCACCAGTATTGACGTTTCTGTTGTTGATATCTTTTAACAATATGTCCACAACCATTAGGTCATTTTATTTTTTATATTTGTTATCATAGCTGTGAAAGCATATTATATGAGTGAATTTAGTAAAAGTTGAGTGAAACCTATATGTACAAACAACTGAAAATGGCGTCAACTCGACCCCTAATTCTAGTGACTGGTAACCCTAAAAAACTTGAAGAATTTCGACAGATATTAGGACCCTCCTTCCCAATAAAGGTAGAGTATCTTCTTTCTCATTATCACTATCACCAAGACCTCTCCTCTCAGGACTGTCTAGGTCTGATTTTTGAATTAATTTTGTGTTATATGACGCTTTAAGGTCTCTCAAGGGAGATAACTACAGTCAAGTAACCTAATTTCGTGGAAACCTATTATTCGTGGATTTCCGGAAAGGATTAATAATTTACATGAGCGACCTTGCGTGACCTCCGCATTAGCTTGTTTCGATAAAGATGGGTTTTCTCTACAATATCATCTAGTAGAATGAATCCAGTAGTCTCAAGCAAGGTAAAATGTATTAATGTATACTTTGACAAATACAAAATGGCGGATTTAAGTTATTACCAAATGTCACCATTTTTTATTGGCCGTATTTCCTTATAATCCCAAGCGGTAATCGGAATTCCAAGTGTCGTCTGCTAGAATATATTCCAACGAATGAAGTCACGTGATCAACTAGCGGATTCTGTGTCAGAAAATTTCTATGGAACACAAAGTGGACCATATTCTTATGTTGTTTCAGTGACTTTTAGCAATAAATCACGCTACGTATCTTATTTTGTCAGTCACTATTTCTTTTTTAAATCGTGGTTCTTTGAAGGAATTGTCACTGGTTATAATGAATTGATATTAAAGATAAATACTAAGAGAAGTTAATTATAGCACCCGGTATCCATACAACGTGTTTTTCAAGACTAATTTATAGATCAAACATTGTACACGAAAATAGGTGACGCATTCTGCCGCCGTTATCGAGTTGGTTGCTCATGAAATATGGGTCAAAGTGAAGGATTCATAAAGAAAATCGAAATAAACCAATTTTAATTATTTTGTAGAATATTTTGTAGAAACATCTAAGACATAAAAATTTTTTTTCGTTTTTTTAACTTTGACGAAATTCGGTGTTGAATCCTTATATCCACGAAAATAGGTTACACCACTGTACTATTAAGGATATTTCGATCTAAAGTTGAGCAGCTGTTAGTTTAGAAAGGATTAAGCTGCATGTTGTTCAGATAGAGTTGTATGCTGACCATACTCCTGATTATATCATATCACTTAAATATTTCAGATAGAAAGTAGAGATATAGATCTACCAGAGTATCAGGCTGAACCGAGGGAAGTAGCTGAAGCCAAGTGTCGGATAGCAGCTGAACATGTCAATGGTCCAGTGATAGTGGGTGATACCAGTCTATGTTTTAATGCTTTAAAAGGATTACCTGGTCCCTATATAAAATGGTTTTTATTAAATATAGGAC